TCGGCGAGACAGAAGCCATCAACAGAAGAGTGGCGGATTCGGCCAAACTGGAACAACAGCGACCTCACGTGTTTCATTTGGGATGGTGCAGTCAATTTTGGACAGACGCACCCTTCTGTTCTAGAATGAAACCGTACTAATAAATGTACGTCTAAGTTTGTTCCGGAAAATCGTTAGATATTTTTTGCATATTTCATTGGGTAAAATAAATATTAGTATGTTTCTGTATTCAAACAATGGTAGCGAACACGTGCTCGTATTTGACATCTGTACAGTACTTTGATCCTGCGGTTTCAAACAACACTTAGAAGATGGTGCAGTCAATTTTGGACAGACGCATCCTTCTGTTCTAGAATGAAACCGTACTAATAAATGTACGTCTAAGTTTGTTCCGGAAAATCGTTAGATATTTTTTGCATATTTCATTGGGTAAAATAAACAGTAGCATGTTTCTGTATTCAAACAATGGTAGCTAACACGTGCTCGTATTGAGGTACCAAAGACTGCCATCTCTACAGTACTTTGATCCTGCGGTTTCAAAAATCAGTCAATAGCACGCAAATGAACCGCCTGTAAATTGCCAAAATGTGGGGAGGAAGAAGGACAGTGGCTATAAATCGACACGCTCCTGTTGAAATGTCAGTTTGTGTGAGCGTGCGCGTGTCTTTGGGAGGTGAGTGGGAAAAAAACGAGGCCAGGATAAATACATTTTTTAAATCGTTTTACGACAAGGTTTTGGTTTGATTGGTATTGGCCTGAATGATTTTTTTCTCCCCAACACTTTTAAGGCCCGCTTCCAGCTAAAACAAACTGCACAAAGACCGCCACGATTATTTAATATAAGTATGGTGTTCTTTTGGTGATGTCGAGCAGTGTTGTGTTTCAGTCAAATTTAACTCTTGGAATGTTGGCCAAAAAGTTCGAAGTTGGTTTCATAAAACATTTTCCATATGTTTGAGAGGTTGGTTTTTTTTTTTTAATGGTCTGTGAAACCAAGGTTGAACTTTCAGAATAAATAGTGGCAGATGTATGCTGACTTTCATTTGACATGAGTTTAAATTTGATTGGTTAATTCTGAAAAGCCACATGCAAGTTATAAGAGGGTGTGCACACTTTATTTCAGTTGTTTATTTTTACTTGCCCTTGAAGACATTTTAAAAATTTGTGGCACCTGTTTTCGACCACATTACTGAGAAAAAAAGTTTTGAAGTTATTTCTTGCACTTATTTTTTTTTTACATAGTGACAAATACCTATCTATGAAATTCTAAGTAAGATATACTGTTTTATATAAAAGTAGAATTGTAAACCTACCGCCTGTTTAATTGAAAAGTGTCCGGTATATAAATAGCCTGCTTCATGATTTTGATCAGTTTCGTCCTCCCAAGATAGTTAGAATACACAGAGGACGCGGAAAGAACTTTGGTATGAGTAGCAACTTCCTGTACATCTTTTACACTAGAATGGAAAACACCACTCACCCCACTCATTACCGTATGTTTCCAGTCATCTCCGGTTGTTTCTTTTTAACAACAAAGGGCATCTAGATAATTTCATGGTGCAAGAAAAATGAAACTTAGTACGCCATGAAACTTTTAATGGCATAAACAATTGAGAATTCCTACTGAAAGCAACTCAAAGTAAAAATGATGTGACAGCTTTAAGATGGAACAACAGAAATGGTACTGTCAATCACAGATGTGCAATACATTGTCCAATCACATAACTACTACAACATTTTGCATAATGTTAAATTGCAGGCATGCAATTCCGAACGACTTCATAAGAATTTCTGTGTCTGACTTTAATCTTTATTTTATTCCTCAGATCCACCCATCAATTTTCGATACTGCTTACTCGCGCCACTAATGAGATGTAGCCTATCCAATATGACTTTGGGTAAGAGATGAGTCTCAACGGGTCACCAGAAAGCCACATGGCACATATTGACACCCAAACGTTCACACTTAAGGACGATATTGAGTGTTCTATTGTTCATGTTTTTGTGCATGTTTTTGAACTTTGAGAAGAACCTCAGGCAAGTATGGGGAGAACCTGCAAACTCCACACAGGGAAGTAGGAGCCTGGATTTGAAACCCGCAATCTCAGAAATGTGCAGCAGATGTGCGTACCACTTCGTCCCTTAGCCACCCCGTGATGAGCCACCTGAGAAACTACAATTATTGTAAGCATCACAGCTGCTGCTATTAAACACGCACAATACTTGGGGCCCCCAGAACATCTTTCGAACCAACCACTCCATCCGAATGCAGAAAAAGCTGGTTGGTGCTAAATATGTGAGCAAAACCTGCACTGGTCTACAAGTGTTGGTCAAAATTGGAACAGAGGCTTATCAAAAACGATTTGTAGCCATGATTGCCAAAAAAAAGTGGCTCTACCAAGTACTGGACTGGGGTGAGTAGTTATGCGCGTGCCAATTTTAAGATTTTATTTTGAAAAATTCAGATAAATAACGGACTTAAATTAGAGGTTGTAACAAAAATGCGCAAAAACTAAGGGTGTTAACGCTTTCGCGCGGGTCTGTTGATATTTGCATAAAAAGCAAGTCAAATAAAGGCGGGCAAGGGTAGACTTAATAATTGCTCTATAATAATAATAATAATAATAATAATCCAAAATTACTGCTGTCGTATTTTAGCTCACAAAGGTGACAAGCAGCACTTCCGCTACTTTTTACCTAACGTTAAGCCAACAAAAACATACATGATGAACTCATAGTACAAAGAAAAAAAAGGAAAGGGTTCCTCCGTTGTTGTGATCGATCTTGATTACAACCTCCGTCTATTTACGAGTGTCATCTGCTCTGCATTCCGAAGTAACTCCAAGAAATAGTCATGTCACGGTGTCTGGAGGAAAGGCCTACCTATACCTTGTCTCCCTTTCCAATAGGTTTCCCAAACTGGTTCAAAACCCCTGCTGGAAAATCTCCAACGGACATATAAGACAAGGTGACGGCGTGGACAAAGATTTAAGGCATGGTTCATCAGCAGAGAATTAGCTTAGATGGTGTGGACATGGTTGGTGCTGCAGGGTCTCTCACTCCCAGTTCTCCCAGTCTTCTTCCAACTTGGGTCAAACAAAGGAAAAAAATGAAAACTCCTGAGCATGCCACCAATTTATAAACTACTATCGAGGGACGAAGAGACAAACCTCTCCAGATGCTTCGATTTTAGAGAGCGCCATTTGAACTTCTTCCTCTGTCATGTCGAGATCAAAGTCTTTCTCCCAGTCCTCGCTCACATCAGTACTTGAACCTGGTGGACATACGAGGAATTACGGCCTTAAACTTCATGACAACTTGTCTGGTCCATCTTTTAAAACAGATTTAGCAGGAATGCATCACTATTAATATGATTCGGAAGAGTAAATATTGATGACAACAATTAAAAAAATAACAAAATAATATATAGAAATATATATAAAACCTGTGGGGAATGTACTTTTTTTGCCGTTGTTAGAAGGTGTAGACTTGCCACTGTCAGAGTTCAGCTCAAACACTCTCAGGTCATGGGGTCCGTCCTCCTTTGCGGCCTCTACTTTTGGGGCCCATGATGTCACCGCATCCACGGTGACCTCGGGCTGGGTCCCAGTTTCCATTTGTGTCACAGGAGCCGAGTCACAGGTCTGCTCAGGCTTTTGCGCTTTTGGCATCTTGTCTACTACATCGTCCACAGTGACCTCGGTCAGCTTCGTTACCAGCTCGGTGACAACGGGCTCGGGCTGCACCTCCAGCTGCGTTGGCAGACTGACGCTGTCACTGCTAATTGAGAGGGTGGCGTCACGCTCTTCACCGGGAGACAGGTTTGTATTACGCAGCTGTGTGGTTGCTGTGGGAGTCATCGAAGGTGCCGGTTCCTGTGCTGTGCTTGAGTCCAATGGGGGCGTGAAGTTGAGATGGGATGAGGATGCAGTACCAACAAAGTCATCTAACAGAAAGAGGAAACCCATCATGGTAGTGTGAGTAAGTCGAGTCTCCAAATTAAGTCAGTAAGTTGTTGCTAGTATACCCTCCTCCTCTTCCTCCCAGCCAAGGACTTCTGTGTGGGATGCCTGTTCAGCCCGCTGCTTCAGCACCACTCGCCGTGCCTCCTCCTGACAACGCAAAACAGTCCAGAAACAAGTTTTGCAACAATTTCACCAACATTATGCAATCCTGTTCTTAAAAGCATAGTGTTCAAACAAATTATAGACACACCAAATGGATTAAAACCTGGATTAAAACATTTCTTTCCAAATGATGGGGCCAAATGGCAGCAATAAAGACCACAATTGAAAGTACACGTTTACATGACACCATCATGCGCAAAATGACCACGGTAAACACAAAATTGTTGAAAGAGAATAAGATACAATTACCACTTAAGCACATAAAGCACTTCAGCAACAACAGCAGTCACCAAATTTTAGTTCCAAGCACGCAAAACCCAAAGCGATGTACTCAACCACCTAACGGGCCTAAAAGGGGGAAGTCAAAAGTGTTCTTTACAATCTGTTCTATGCACCCCCACGACTCTAAACACTGTACTCTGATTAATATTGCATTTATGAAATATACATTAGGTAGAAAAATCCAGCCGTTTTCATCCATCTGAGAGCATCAAGGGGGGGGGGGGGCTGCTTCTCATATTCAAACTCGGCAGCAGGGGGGACTAAAGACCATGAAACAAGTTTCATGCTTGGCAATGGGCATGAGAGGATGTTGAGGTCATAAAGGATGTGTACTGATGGATACGTTTACCTGGTCCAGCTGAAATACTTTATAGAAGTACCTCTGCCAGAACTCCGAATGGGCAACCGCTGCCGGAACCTTGAAATAAAATAGACAAAATGAACCCCATCTCCAGATTGCTTTTTATTCAAACAAGCTAATGATTAGCATCACAAAAGTCGACGTACCATTTTTGTGTAAAGTGCTCGTATTGAGGGACTGCTAACCAAGAGCTCAGAGATTTCACCTTTCTTATCGTCCACACTGAAGTTGGATAGCCAGTTGTCAAATTGCTCTGGGGGCCCTGGGAGAAACAGTTGGAAATAAAGTGCAAGACCACGTATGAACAAGTGTGAAAGCATCCATTAGTAGAGACTTCTGGTCAGTAAAAATCCCACTGATGTCTTCGATTGTGCCACAGCCAGGCAGCTTCATGGAAGACATAACAAAGACTCACATTTGATATCATGACGTTTTCTATATTCATGCAGTGCATGGGCAAACGCAGAACACGTTTCCATAGAACGCCTCTAACCTCCAATGGGTTCAAAGTAACGATTCGTCTGAGAGAACTTGGTGCAAAAGATATTGAGCAAGGCTGACAAGTTCACAAAGGATCCAAAGACTGTTCATTCAATGAACCCTCACGTGATTTTGTGGCAGCTCTCCTTAAAAAATATATATATTCTGAAACAATGTACTCTAGGTATTGCCAGGACGAATGTTTATTTCTCCATTGTGAGACAAATAAAGGCTTTCTTATCTTCTTATTTATTTATTTACTTGTTTATTTTCTGACAAAAGGAGCAGAATGAATTCTGAAGTCTTTGGGGGCAATGTTATCCTCTCATATTCATCCAAAGCTTCACAACTCACTGGACAGCACTTGACAATGCAGATGGACAATGATCTGAAGCATACTGTGAAAGCAATGAAAGTGTTTTTTTTTTTTTGTTTTTTTTTTAATTACTGAAAGGAACATGTCCAAAGAACATGCCGAAACTGAAAACAGCTACTTTAACTTTAAACTCAGGATGCTCAGTAATTAAGGTTTTTTGAGGTGAACAAATTCAGGGCATTTCAGTTGAAAATTTGATGTAATGAGAGTAAATTGAGTAATGATTATTAAATTACACATCTTTACTGGGTATATGTCTTACCATCAGGCTCATTGCAATATGTGGCGGGATCAGCTTGCAGATTGTAGAGCCGTGCCTGTAAGGACCAAAAAAAAATGCTCAACTCAAACAAAAGTCATACAATTCAAATACTAATGAAATGCACGCTAACTTTGAATTCATGAAAAAAAATGCTACAAACATTCTTCTATCGTGATTTTAGCATTGAGCAAATAGGGTTACTGGTAATCCAAACTGACCTAAAACCGGACAAGTTGAGTTTGACCATGTCAGACAGTGAGGGAAAAAAATTGTCTTTTTCTACAATATCTGTACATTTCTGATGGAAAACAGTATGTCAACAAAGAGTAAAACAAAATCTGGCATGACTTAAAAGTATCAGTCAACAGTTCAAATTAGTTTAGCATTAAAAACACAAGATGAGAGTAAAGTCTTTAAAATGGGCGTTGAACTGTTGACAGTGTAACATTTCTGTTTACTGTCATAAAATGTAAACTAAATATCCACCTTCGAGCTGTCGTAGACTTCTGTAGTTCCAGCCGGTGTTGCCACCAATGTGATAACATCGCAGTCTATGGTTTTATCAGGGGGTGGAGCAAGTGTGTCTGTTATGACTCCTAAGAAGCTGGAGAGGCTCTTCTTCACCTTCTCTGTAGTCTCTGACGAGCCTTCAACCTAGAAAGAAGAAGGCATTGTGCTCAGAGTTCAGCATTTTGTTCAGTCCAGACGCTTCTACTAAATAGCTGCATTTTCTGCAAAAGCAATAATGTGTCTGTTTTAGAAGATAGCGGAGGCTCGGAAGTCTAAACCGTACGCGGCGAGTGACTGAGTAGCCCACAAAAATCAACGATGCTAAAAAGTTGGTCGCCAAGAGCCCACAATGTCAATGGTGAAATCGGATCGCATCGTTTGAGCCCTTGGCTCCTCTCTGGCAGAAGGACTGCACTTTTCCTTTCCTTTTCCTTTGGCTTTCACAACACTGTTGTACCCATGGCTGTCCTTTTTGTTTTTTCGATGTCATTAGATGCATTGACAAGAAGTCGTCATTCTGGTATTTATCGTGCATCCTGAGTTTGCGGTGTGTTTTGGGGCAGCACTTGACGAGCGTGTGCGCAGGACACGGACTGAGGCGTACTGGAGCTTGGTGACCTGAGTCGTTGCTTCAGGTCTTTCCTGTGCACTGCTGTTGGTATAGCGCCCTCATAGTGGCGCAACGCTGCACCTGCAGTTAAAATACAAAGCTCCCGCAGAGGGACATCAATCCCTCAATAAGCACAGCTGGGGCTTGACGCTGTGTTGAGCGATATCATTCGGCCTGGCTGGGGGGTGGGGGGGGGGGCAGCTGGAGGTGACCGCCACGCAATTTTGAACGCAGAAAAAACTCTGGATAAAAGCGTGTGATTCCATATCAAAGTATTGATTTATTGCACATTTTTGTGATAAGCTGCATGTGCCATTATCGCAATGACATTCTTGCAATATAATGTGAAGTCCTAACAGATGCAGGGACAAAAACAAAAGCAACAACTTACCGCCAGCTTGTTTTTGACTGCAGTGGCTGTGGCCACAATTGAACAGGCCGTGTCATGCTGCACTACTGTGGAAAACTCCGTCAAGTCTCGCTTGATAAATTCCAAGGCCTCAGATGACTGTAATAAAAATAAAGACATTACAATTGGAAGAAAGATCCAGGCACAGTAGGCAATTGTGGCACTAAAAGTCAGCTGTTTACCCATCTATCCTCAGCTCTAGAAGCCATCCATAACTTAATATGCAAGTAGTGTTTGAAATGTGGGCAAAAGATTAACTATCACGACTTTGATTCTCTCCTCTTTCATCTCAAACTGCTTTAAACTACAAAGTGTATGAGGGAAAAGTGGTTCGGACTGCACGACTTACATGTTGTTTTGTGTTATGTGTTGTGTTTATTATTTTACTTTTTGTTTACTGTTTTGTTAAGCGCTTTGTTACAGCTGCCGCTGTTGTGAAAGCACTATATAAATCAGCATGTATTGTATTGTATTAGACATGCTTGCCAAGACCTTCTAAATAACCACAACCTGGTTTCTGTTGACATTTCACAATGTCAACAGAATGTCATTTCATGTCATTGGTGTTACAAATGAAATGGTACAACCAATCTATATACAAAAGTAACACTTGGTGGTAAAATGACAAGCAACTTCAGACCTGAGTATGGTGTGTTAATAAATGGTTACCTTGTCTTTGACGGCCTGGAAGCTTTGATGAAGCCAGCCTCCCCACCAGCTTTCTCTGTCATCGGATGCAAATTATAATTCACGTTAGCCAAATACACAACAGGACCAAAATGTTCATCTCCCTAGAATTTCTTTCCTGTTGCAAAGTCATCGTAGATTGGGCATAACCTCACCGAATCTGCTTCAGCTTGCAACGAACTGGCTAACGGTTGGTGGCAGTTTGAGGTAGAAGGCTAACAGTCTAGCAAAATAAACGCCTCGCTATGCTGTCATTTATGAATTTGCACAGCAATTTGATTAGTTCAATAAACGCGCCAGAGAGAGAAATGAAGCACAATTTCATTTAATCGTTCGATAAGTGGTGATTAATGTTGGTGGAGAGAATTACATTTAAGCTAAGCGAACGTTTGCTAGGCTATATTTTGTAAACAAACGCACTTCCTGTAATTATTTCGAACATTAGAGAGAACAGCAGTTTGTGCATAGCAGTTTCATCCAATAATAATAGCGGCGCAAGTTGCAAAGAAATTTACGGCTAATGTTCCCGAAAACATATCCGTTGCTAAAACAACTTTTAAAAGTAAAGCTAATACGTGACTTCACACTCACCCTTCAGCCATCTTTAGGCGATGACATCATCATCAGTATTCTGAACTCTACCCCCAGTTACGTCAAAGTAATACACACGCAACGAAAACCGTTCATACCTGCCCTGACATCATCACATATTAACATATACGTGTTAAAAAAAAACTATTTAATCATATATTCTGGGCATCTTTCATGTTTAGTTAATGTGTACAATACTGTATTGTGTTATGTCGTGAAAGTGTATTATCTACGGTGGTCTAAGAAGGCCAATTTTAAGCGGCAAAGCTAAAGTCTGAGCGAAATTACGTCGTGTAAAGAGCCTTTGTTTGCAGATTTAGCTGGAAAATGTAGATATTAAAATTGTTTTGACCATCTAAAAATATATTTATGGTGAAATAATTACGAAACGTTTTAGAGAAATTTATGGAGGACTGAATAAATGCTCTCAGTAATTTGTACGGACTATGACTGTCTGCTCATAATTGGAGACTTTTACATTCACACTGACAACAGTTTGGATAAATATTGCAAAGAACTTTAGACTACACGTGATACTTTTGGTTTGTCACAACATGTAAAAAGTCCATCGCAAAGTTCTTCATCTCATTATCTCTAAAGGTGTTGACATTTCGTCTGTTGATGTAACAGATTTGGCTATTCCAGATCGTTTCTGTGTGTTCTTTGAATTACAAATAATCCCCAAAATTCAGGCAACCTGTTTATTTCTTTAATGCCCTGGATGCTGTTTTTCCTGTTAAAACTAAGAACATTTCATGTCGACCTAAAAAAAAAACCTGAAGAAAAAAAAAAGAATGAAACTGAACCCCAAGTTTATTTTGACCTGTACAGATGATCATTGTAATTCAAGTATTTGTAATTTTAACAAGGAGTTAATAAAAGATATAACACTTTTCTGAAATCACGAGAACAGAAATTAAGTCAGCCCGAGTGTAAATGCTTTCAATCCAGGTTAAACAGTTTGATTTCTATTTTTCCCCATGCCATGTATGAAGTCCTCTAAACAATTTTAAAAGATATTTATTCTTGTAGTTATTTCAGAAACTTACTTTTGTTTCTTTACTTAACTTTTAAATATTTTGAAAGTCTTCTGTTAATGTTTATAAACAGTGTCAATGTTCTTGTTAACTCTTGTGTTTGTAAATGCTTGTAGATCTGTCTTATTGCCTTGTGTACAAAATGGAAATGTGCTATACTGCATAAATAAAATTGTTTTACCTTGCCTTACAATGTGACTTTTTGTTTGTGTGTACTCGTGTATAATATGTCCCTTTTGTTTTTTAAACAACAAGAAAAAAACGATGGTACCCTTACAATATGCAAAGTCCTTTGGTACTTCTTTGTCATGTACTTGTTTATCATAGATGCTTGTTAGTGATAATACTAGTGTAGCCTGTACTACCGGAGGCAAATTCCTTGTGTATTTCTATATACTTGGCCAATAAAGACGATTCTGATTCCAATTCTGATCACAAAATAGTCTCAAACGGCTTCACAATCCCACAGTTGACAAATATGAATGACATCCCCTGATTTAAACCCCACAACCAGGCAAGGAAAAACTCAAAGAAGGGGAAAAAAAAATCAGAAATATTGTGAAGGGGAACACGGATGGGGGAATCCTCCTTCCACGATGTCCAGGCTTCAATGGATGTCAATGGGCAACATTTAACACCTAATATGGTGTTAACTAAACACATTATAGTCGACTGTAAAAAAAGTCTTTAGTTTTTCAACCTCTCCCATAGACAACGACTTCTAGACAGGCTGTGTGTGTGTGTGTGTGTGTGTGTGTGTGTGTGTGTGTGTGTGTGTGTGTGTGTGTGTGTTCTGACCCCCTCAGCAGCTGTGTTTTTAACTCATTAATATGTATTCAGTTTCGGGGGGTTGTGGGGTTTGTCTGTTGGCTTTACTAAGCTCAAAATAATAAAAATAAAAAAACAGACAACAAAGCCCTGGAAGTGTGTTGTCACTTAATTGAAGATTGCCTGCATCCAGACGCTACACCATGTGTGCATATGTCCTGCAATATGTATCCTTTGTCCAGCGTCTCTTTTGCACTAATTGGAATTTTCAGTCTCCCAATTAACCCTGTCAATGTAGATTGAATGAGCCAAGTTACACAAATGCTTTTCTATTGATCAGAATATGAATCGGTTAACATATCCATCTGTCAACAATATCATGGAATTAATGAGTTTAACTGGCAAGTTTTTCAATGTCTTACAGTTTCACTGCACCATTTCATTGTGAGAGAACTCGACAGTTTCATCATCGTTTTTAACAGTGCGCACTGCTCAAAAATGAGTACAATACTCCGCAAATGTAATGAGGCACCATTACATTGTGTTTGTTTTCGACATGCAGTGACCATCTACACTGTACAATTTGTCAGACTCTGTCACATTCACATTGTAGCATAGTTATAGAGTCATCTTATTGCATAATTTTATCTCATATAGTTACACAGTTTACAGTAACATGTACACCAGAAGTCCTTTACATGGAAAAAAGAAACTACAATATTGCTTAATGTGCACACATTCTCTTACAATCTATTGTTACACTAAGCATGAATTAAATTTAGCGACTCTCTAGTATTTCCTTCTAGTATTCCATTTGTTTTATTAAATTCGATGTTTTATTATTATTATTTTTTTATTATTATTATTATTATCATTAACAATAACATCCAACGCACATAATATTTACAAGATGCAGTTAAATTCACCTATGTTCACTGCTCCAAGAAGGGTTCATACACCAAGAAGTGCAGAAAGTGGTTTTGTGCAGATCACAATTTGAGATTACCGGCAATTACACATTTTCGAAATGACATTGTTCGTCATACATCATTGTGAGCCAAAAGCTGCTGAGGCACTGCTGACGGCAGCAGTGGCTGACCATAATGGTCCACAGAGGACCTGCCCATATTGGATGATTTAAGTAGGATATCCATTACGCGGCACACTCAAACTCACAGACACCACGTTCACTCCAGACTGCTGATGCCACACCGTGGGTTAACACCATCTGGTGCCAATCAGGAAACACCAGCTTTGCACAAGTCAATGTCTCTAATTATCTACCTTGACCAAAGGGAGGCCGGTCTCCACTAATCTCTGCAATGTGTTCTGCTTCCCATTCCCACCTGTGCCCTGATAAAAGGGGGGCCTTGTGGGAGGACCTCGGGTCTCTGTGTCAAGGGACCAGGCACCAGGTGATATAGCAATGGCGGTCCCCACGCCAGAAGCTTCGTTGCTTGGTTTGGCTGGCAGCTGCCTCCCCCCACTGAGACGTCCCACAGCTGACAATTCCCCAGCACTGACAGGGGCTCCTTACAGTGTCAATAGCCTCATATATTAGAGCTAACCGCCTTTGTGGCGAGTGAGTGTGTCAGGCTTTTTGGCCTGACAGCGCTTGTTACCATGATGAAATGTAGATTGAATGGAGGGGGTCTGTGTCTGAGGCACGAGAGCTTGGACACCCTTTGTGTCTCCGCACGGGCTATTGTTCAACCCCATTCAGGGCTCTCAGGAGAGGGAGGGGGCCCAAGAGGAAGGTGGGTGAGAATGAGTTACATCTCTTCATTTCTCCCCTGATCTGCAGCTCATCTGTCAGCCGTGGGAGGATAAGCATGTATTTTACACGCTTGATTTGTTGCTAAGTGAAGGCAAGTCATTGTTGCGTTGTTTGCCTAAATCGTGTTCGCGGCAATCAGTGTGTTTGCATTTCAGCCGATTAATCGTTTGATCAAGTCTCCACTTCATTAAGCGCATCTATTTGTGAATATCTTTTATGCTTGCGATGTGTAGAAATATATGCGTTCCATATAAAATAAATAAATACATTTAAAACTTTTGACAGGCTGGCCACATTGAGCCCTCTGGTGCAAGTTGTCCTTTGTGCGCAGATAAGTCATGATGAGACAGTGACAAATCGTTGTCCTAGAGCTTAAGGACATAGCTAACGTCTCTTGCCTGTGTTGGACAAAAGTGACGCGCCTTCCTGGTGCCTGGGTTGTCCTTTCACCTCCTACGCCCTGTTGAGGTAAAGATGGATGGTCCTCTTTGGTCAAGAACAACACATTCAGCTTCTGTGTTGTCGCATTGTGTCGCCCTTCTGTCCCTCTTTAAGAGGGCAGTGCCTCTAAAGTTGCGGTTGGCAACCAATGATACCTTAAATCTACATTTTTTTTTTCCACTGCTCCCTTGTCCGAGTAGTGTCGAAGCTTTTGTGATGTAAGTATGACTCAACTCTTTCAAGACATCATGTCTTGTAACAACTAACATAATTGTTCGATTGCATATTTCTTTAAAAAATTATATTAAAAAAACATAAAACCGTAATAATGTCAGCACACAAGTTTTATGATCATAACAAATTTAATTTAAGAAAATAGAAATCCGATACAAAAGGACACACAAAAATCATTTTTTGACAGTGTTTCTTCATTGTTCTTCATCACATAAATTACAGTATTTGCTACTTTTGATAAAATCAATTCTGCATTTAGAATATGTTCTCTTAAAGCAACACAGAAGAGACTAGTTGAAAAAAATAGCAGCAGTTTGCATGGCAGAAAACCTATATACATAATGTACAAATTGTGGCACCGGTCACCAGTTCCCCAGTTGGTTCTCCTTCTTTAAGTTGTTTGGGCCCTCATGCTGATAATAACAGTAGTAGTCAGTTTTACAGTTACTTGTTCATTGCCAAGCCGTGTAATGAAGAGGTCGGTGTCGGTAAAGTTTGGCAGAGTGAGCATGGGCAGGGCATGCCAGGGAAATGCCTGTAGGAGGTGGTCAGGTGGAGTGGGTCTTTCAGAAGGCCCTGGACTGGAGCGTGAAACCCAAGAAAGCTGGTCGACGGAGGTGAGTGCGGGGCTGGAATTGCTGTTGTAGCTGGAGTGGATGGATGATGCTGGCTGGTGCCAACCAGAGAGTGTAGGGACTGGGCCAGGGGGTGCAGGGGGAGGTGGGCAGGTGATGCAGCAGGGGTGATCGATGGGTGGGCAGTACGACTCTGGACGGCAGCATTGGCTCCGTACACGTCCCCCACCAGCTTCTTCATCTCCTCCAATGAGCTGGACAGCATGAGGATGTAGTTTCGGGCAAGCAGCAAGGTGGAGATTTTTGACAACTTGCGGACTGATGGGCCATGAGCATAGGGCATGACCTCTCTCAAGCCATCCATGGCTTGATTGAGATCATGCATTCGCTTCCTCTCCCGACTGTTGACTTTCAGTCTCAGGTCTTGCACCTCTTCCTTGCTGAGCTGAGATCTAGTTTTGGCCTTACCACCCCCGCTCTGGTCGGCCTCTCTGTCTGACCGGTTTTCTTGGCAGTATGTCTGAAACATCTTGTTTGAGAAGAAGCTCCCAGCTGAGTCATCCACCACCAGGTCTGGGGATGAGGAGCGGCTGCAGGTGGAACCAGCATCAGAATCCATCTTGGTTGAAGCAAAACTAGCGCAAAAAGGAAAAAAAAAATCTGGGATATTTTCAGATGCTTCCCAGTTTTTCTTGATCTGTGTGTGTTTCTCGTAGTGCAGCCACAGTCTTAATTCCCTTTATTCAGTCTGATGACCGGTCTGTCGAAACTGTCATCCTCTGGGCCCATGGGTCTATTTATACAGCCACCACAACAAAGGAACAATAAGTCGCATAATGAGACACTTAGAGCTACAGCCAATTGCAGAAGGGACACATGTTCACCCTCAACACACACACAAACACACACAAAGTCCTGTGGTCCCTATTGCACCTTCCCACACACACATTTCTCCCCTCTTCACCCCCCCCCCACCCCATCCCAGATGAACCGTAGCACATTAACCAAGAACACACGTTAAGCTGCATAAAGAGTGAGTTAACTGAGAGAGTTAAAATTTAATTCAAGACAGTACTTGTTGAGGGTTATGAAATTAGATTTTTTTTAAATGAACTTATACCTTGTGCCTTAATAAAGGGCACACTTACAAATACTTGGAAATTCAAAATTAAATTCAGAAAAGACAAGAATTGTAGAAAATCACATTTTGTGTAACCTTTTTAAATGATACCTCATAATTCCAGCTGTGTCCTTAATAATACTTAATTATAGACTTTGCTGTCATGATGCCTTTATTCACTCAGTGGCTGGGTAACTCCTTGTTGTATTAAATGACATTGCTAATTTTGCTTTAATTACTTGACTTAATAATGTTTGAAAAATGTTAATCATTTTACAATAATGATATTTATGAAAATGATAAATCAGTATACAGCCAAATCGTTTTCTTTCATTCTTGCCAAGTTTTCTTTGTGAAAAGGCCGGGCCTCTCTCTCTTTTTTTTATTTTTATTTTATTTTTTTACATTTAACTTAATTTAATTCATCATTATTTTATTTTTTTTAACTTCTTTCAATAGAATAATTCATGATATTTTGTTATCAGTATCAGGAGGTTAAATTGTATTGTTCAACTACTTTAGTAATGAAATGTGAGATGTCAATATTGGCTCAAGTCTAAGTCACTGAATATGGTTCCCAATACTTTTTTCGAGATTCATCATTACAAACACACAACAGCTTTCTCATAGTGTGTTTGTTTGTTTGTTTGTTGACACAGTCCACGTACGTACCATTCAATGAAAGTGATGTCCAAGTGAGAGTCTAGACATACAGTGAAGCAGACAACCTTTTTAATGCCCTGCACCATCACACCAGATACCTCCGAGGCCTTATTTACATACGGTATCTATGCGACACCAGAAAGAGGCATGAAACACCATATGAGGTGCTTGAACATGTAAAGAGCAGTGTTAATGGCAGACTAGATACAATTCACCCAAAAGCCAAGACAAAAGGGGTGAGATAAATTTGACTTGGCTCTCCAAACAGTCTGCGAAATCGCATCACTATCACTTGAAGGGGACCCTGCAAGCGGGGAGGAGGTAGTTAAAAAGATACTAAAGGGTGGGCACCGCATTGTCTTCCCCTAATTCGACCATAAAAAGCACTTGCACTCTCACGAGCGCACTAGGTTGCTTTTTCGGAAATCTGCTTATCTTAAATATGAATCGGAATTCTTGGTTTCATGACACCAAAAAGCAGTTGTGTGCATTCACAATCTGGATATCACTCTTCTAACCACTTCCTTGTGCAAACAAATGTTTGCAGTGAGATTTCCACAAAATGGTTTACAAATTTGACTTCATATTCCATGAATCACAGGCAAGATACTGTGTCAGAGATTATTAGATTCTGTTGCAAATTATATTTTATGGTGCAACAACTGAATTAAGAGTTACCTTTTTGCTGCTCGGACAACGCTGGAAATGTTTTTGATTTGTTTCTCTCCGGCCGTGGGCGCCATAATTGCTAGTTCATAGTTGTTCCAAAAACAACTGACAACAAACGTTCAAAGTCTCTAATTGTGTTTGTCAGAGGGCATCTTCATTGACTTGCACAGTGCATATAGTCTTGACTGATGCAGTGTAAAATACACTATAACTGTGTGTGCTTCTCAAACACAGAATGGAAATCAAGGGGGCCCTGAGGACCCCCCACCAGAGCTCCATCAGGGGGCCCCACAGGCTGCTTTGCCCCCGTCAACATGTAGTGATATTATAATTGGAGAACCTTGAGCGACAACATGGGCCGTTTATTTGGAGCATATGGATTTTCCCATCGTTAGGCTCCGCGCCAACATGGCTGCTGGATTTCCCCTCACTAATTGGGTCAGATCCTAATTAACTATGTCGGACACAAAGGCCCCGATTTCATTCTTCTACGGCCTTTTCAGACTCTTTAATGGCTGATTCTGTGTCACAGTTTTCAATGTGTATTACACACTGCAAAGTCAGTGAACGTTTAAAGGGCCGATTAATTTAATTTAATTTTAGTCTAACTGCTTTTGAGGTTCGATTTCTGAAATGGCCACTTATTTACATTGAGACGCAACAAAACAGTAAGGCAGAGCAACTGTGTGTTTGTGAGTGAACAGTTGCTATCCACGGATACATTGATCATTGTTAGGGGCTCAGGCGGAATAAAAGAAACATAATTGATCTCCCGCTTAGACTACAGATATATGCATGAGCCAAATAAATCTCTTTCTCCTACTCATTCTCATTCATGTGTTTGCAGAGGCAACGGGCCACACAGAGAGACACAAGACTCTCTGAGCTTTGCATTTTCCAAATGAATGCAGAGCCACCCTCCATGTTTCCACATAATCCTTCAGTTTTTAACCCTGCATTTGGCTGTTTGACTTTCTTCTTTCAAGACCCTACATCCATTTCGAGGGCTTTGTGACAGACGTTCTGAAGGTTTAGAGACCCCTTTTCTTTTACCTCATGGGGTCCAGTGAAAGTGCTCAGGTGACCAGAAAATGAGGGCATTATCACAGGCATATGCTTGTCGCAACAGCGGATCAGGCTAGATTACGGCCTATCATGGCTCAATAAAGTGCTAAGCTGAAACACAAACCTGTGCTGTGGACCAAAAGGCTTCCTTCACTCTCTACTGACTATTGTTCAACTGGATCAGTGACTACATCTTCTGTACACGCACACATGGGCTTTAATCTGGGCATGTGGTTGAGAGCGTTCCCTTCAGAGCATTTCGCTGCTTTTGTTTACCAGTTTCTTTTTTGAAGAGGTGGGGGCGGGGCTGTTACTTGAATATCAAGGCTTTGAGTTAACAATATTAAAGGAGAAAAAGGCACCCTGGGCAGGATTTGATTGGATTCATCTTAACATCTTCCACACTGTCTGCACTCCAGAAGGTATCGAAGTCTTCACGTGTCCAAACGGGCTGTTTCAGCGAACAGGAAGTGCTGGCCTTTCTTATCGCTCTGTGCTGGAGTAAACTGTCCTGTGATTTATTTATTTACGCTGCCGCCAACAATTGCATCATTTCAGCAATGACAAAAAAAGGGCACAAAGGTGCGATGAAAATCCTCTGGGATGTTTATGAGTCACGTAAGAGCCCAATAACTTTCTCCTTCGTCTTTAAGCAGCCATGGAGGATCACCTGCTGATGAGGGCTGCGGGGCGAGGGGAATCAGAAGAAGGACACAGGTCCATGGAGAACTGACGATTATGAGTGGGATGAAAGGAGTCCGTGCCTTCTCTTCTTGGCTTGAATGAACTCAGTCAGCAGGCTACCCCATACATTGGCTGGGTCATGCTGATAGAACTTCATAAATTACCGGACAATTACTCCGGGGGGAAGACAGAGGGTGGAAAAACTGGCCCGAGGGCGAGATTGTGAAAGGAGCAGAAAGTGCAGAACCGATTGCTGTACAGACCCCCTTCAGGAGGTGTAGGGCCCAGATCCAGATGCTGGCCTTCAGTTTGTGGTGATGCTAATGATGGTTCATTCCCGAGATTGTCAACACACATTTGTTTCGCCTTTTAAAAGTCCAAAATGCAAACTGCTTGCATCCCCTTGTTTGATAAATAAGCGTGTATAAACAATGCATGGCTACAAAATAAGGTACACCAGCACAATCCACTGAGATCGAAAACAGATGAGCGGGATTAATATTACATCATTAATTATGAAAAAAAGCTGTTTTAATTCGGCTGTGTTGTACCGGTAATAAAAATTTGGAGCCACAAAAATCTTTAACCGGAGACTCCTGCAAAATGTTGTAGATGCCCAATCGATTTCCTTCAACTGTTCAAGACAAGAGATACGAGCTGCACCTATCGCCGAACGGGTTCTGTCCATCAGCCACTTCAGCATTCGTTGTTCAGTTCCACTCAGAGCTGTCTGCTGGAATTTCAGCATATGCATCCATCCATTTTCGACACCGCTTATCCTGAACAGGGTCGCCGGAGTTGCTGGAGCCTATCCCAGCTGACTTTGAGCAGAAGGTAGACTACACGCTGAACTGGTCGCCACTCAGTCACAGGGCACACATAGAGAGAAACAAGCATTCACACCAACATCCACACCGACGCTGAGTGGGAACCGATCCCACGCTGCCCGCACAAAAGTCAGGCGATCAAGACAGATTGTCATTATTACTTAAAAAAAAAAAAAACAATATTTAGGTCAAGAAAGATGTGTCTTTATTTTTCATAAAACTTTTATTATTATACATTACTGTTAAAATGCATGTCGATGGTTTTATATGGAGGCATGTTGTCGCCAGCTGCTCATTGTCACTAAAGAAATCACGTGTACCGTAATCTATTGGAGTAACTTTTAAAACCAAGTAGTTAGCAAAGTACCAAAGTGATGTTTTCAAGTGGCAACAATGATTATCGGGCCAAACACACAAGGCTACAATATGTAAACTTTTGATCTGAGCCATTTCAGGAATTTCAATTGTCATTCTGATTTAAAAAGTGATTCAAAAGGTGGACAACACACCTGACTGGTCTGCCACTCACAGGGCACAGACCGCCATTCACACATTCACACCATCACAGAGTGGGAACCGAAGCCGCAGTGTCTGCACGAAAGTCAGACGAGAGAATACGACATCATCAGGCAGCATTTTAAATTAAAGGCAAATCAATGTGTTCATGCATCAATAGAAACTTTTTTTTTTTTTTTTTTGCAGGGGCAAAACTCGGATGCTCCGGATTATCCCAGAGTTCATGATGTAAATAGAATTTTTATTTGATTTTATTTTTTAAGATCGGTATCAATTTCAGAGAAAATTCTATATTTTCATTGTTGCTGCAGCTTTCTATCTGATATATTTCATATAATGATACATTCACCTTCATATGACATTACATCACCAATGCTAAATTGTCTGATCCTCAAATGAAAGATTTTTACAAAATAACGAGTCTCATTCGCAGCATTGTAATCTTGATCAATGCAAAACAAACAAACCGGCAGACAGACACACGCACGCACACACACACACACACACACACACACACACACACACACACACACACACACACACACACACACACACACACACACACACACATTGTGTTTCTTTGGCAGCGTGCATGTCACACTTTTGAACAGTTGGCCACTCATTGAGGCATGTGGGTGGCATTGTGTCCGCAGTCTGCAAACTTCTGCCACTTTTTGCACCCCCCTGCCCTTGCCTGTGTTTCCCCCATGCCCCCCTCTATGTTATCTGGGCGGATAGAATCAGGGACATGCTCACCCAATAATCTTCATCCCCGAAGCCCAGGCACGACTGTTGCTTTCATCAGCACCATTGTTTCAGTCTGTTACCACTGCGTGTGCACCCTCGCCATGGCAACGAACACACACAAGAAATGCAGTGCCCCCCGCACCCCCTCCTTGTCTCTGTCCCATCTGTGGATAGGCCTGCCATGTGTCCATTCAGATGGGTGCCGGCGGCAACGCAACTGTATGTGGAAAGTACATGATGCTGTCCTTTTGTGTGTTTCATAGTCCTCAGCTACTTATTGCTGACCCTGAGGTCAACACACACAATAGCCTGAGTGTTGGTGGCCACTGGCCATCCTCATTGGCTCTTGATTGATGAGTTGATCAATGGCGCGTGCGTCTGTATGCGCGTGCGCCCACGTTTGGCTTCTATATAGGCTGCACCGACCACCAAATTAAGTGTGTCGGTGTTCTTGACGTCTTCCACTTTAGGAAGGCATCATGGTAGTTAGTGACTCACAATTGATTTCTTTTAGTTTTTCACTTAAAGATATAACTGCAAATTACCTAAGTTAAGTTGGCACAGGACTTGCGCTTAAAAACATTCCAAAAATGTGTACCCTATTATGATGTCTTGCCTGAAACCATTGACGTTTTAGATGAAGTATTTTAATGTGCTCTTTTTTTTTACTCACTATTTTTAGTCTTTTTTTTTGTATTTCTTTTATTTGTTTATTTATCGTGCCTTAAGATGTGTTTTCAAACTGTGCTCCTTTTTTAATGTAGTTATTGACTCCACAAGGCACTGCGGACTCAGGTGGGTAATTACTGGCATACATTAAACCTTAAATTGCATATGGGTGGATGTGAATGCTGATGAGGAAATCTGTGACACATTATCATCCAGTTGCAGCATAATGTAGAACTGATGGGTAGGGTCAGACTGATCTTCAAATGTCCAAAAAACTGTTCATTATCACTCTTTGTAGTTTTGTTTATTACCTAAAGCAGTGTTTAAGCAGTACACATTTTGAGATTGAATTGTATGACGTGCTGTTTTTACATTTTGTTTAATATGTTAGACATGGCTTTGATCAACCATGAACCATATCCATCCATCCATCCATTCTCCACTGCTTAACTGGGGTCAGGTCGCGGGGGCAGCAGCTTTCGCATGGAAGCCCAGACTTCTCTTTACCCAGCCACTTCTTTCAGCTCTTTCTGAGGTATTCCCAGGCCAGCTGGAAGACATAGTCTACAGCAAGTTCTGGGTCATCCTCGGGGCCTCTTGCCCGAAACACTTCACCAGGGAGGCATCCAAGAGGCATTCTAACCAGATGCCCGAGCCACCTCATTTGGCTCATCTCGTCGTGGAGGAGCAGCGGCTTGACCCTGAGCACCTCCAGGATGGCTGAGCTTCTCAACTTATGTCAAAGGGTGGCCCCGGACATCCCGCTGAAGAAACTCGGCGACTTGTATCCGGCATCTCATTCTTGCAGTCATCACCCACAGCTCATGACCATAGGTGAGGGGAGGAACATAGATTGACCAATAAATCGCCTTTATCAGCAAGTTCGGTATCCCCTACTCCCGAAGCACTTCCCCACAGAACTCCCCAAAGGACAAGGTGAAGACAGTCATCGCCTTCTCCAAGTCCACAAAACACATGTAGACTGGTTGGCGAGTTCCCACGTACCGTCGAGGACCCTGCTCAGGGTCTAGAGCTGGTGCACTGTTCCACGGCCGGGACGAAAACTACACTGCTCCTCCTGAATTTGAGACTTGACTTCCCGACAGAGCCTCCTCTCCAGCAACCCTTAGACCTTACCAGGGAGGCTGAGAAGTATGATCCCTCTGTAGTTGAAACACATCCTCTGGTCCCCCTTTATAAATTTGGGATATTTATTTATCCACATATCCTCAAGCAAAAACATTCACATGAAGGGTAGAAATGATCTCAAGTGAAGGTAAATATATATTTTTTGTTCTCTGGTGGTCTTGGGCTTCCATTAATGGTACACACTTGAATGTTTTGCTTTTTGGTCATGTTTTCATTCATTCATTCATTCATTCATTGTTCGAACCGCTTGATCCTCACTAGGGTCGCGGGGGGTGCTGGAGCCTATCCCAGCTGTCTTCGGGCAGAGGGCGGGGTACACCCTGAATCGGTTGCCAGCCAATCGCAGGGCACACAGAGACGAACAACCATCCACGCTCACATTCACACCTAGGAACAATTCAGAGTGTTCAATCAGCCTACCATGCATGTTTTTGGAATGTGGGAGGAAACCGGAGTACCCGGAGAAAACCCACGCAGGCCCGGGGAGAACATGCAAACTCCACACAGGGAGGCCGGAGCTGGAATTGAACCCGGTACCTCTGCACTGCGAAGTCGACGTGCTAACCACTGGACTACCGGGCCGCCCATGTTTTCATTTACATTGAATTATTGCTCTTCAAAGTAATTATTATTGATGAGACATTAATCAGTTCCATTTTCTATTCTTGCAGCAAAATGATAAAAAAATATTGGAGAGGAAGACAGTTATTTTTCTTATCCTCACACTAAAATAAAATATCATACGGACACTGGTTAAACTTCATAAATGCAAATATTCTGACAGCACCTCACACTCCCCAAAAAACTCTGACAATCGCCAAATAACCTCTCACACTTGAACTCATTTCTCACCTCTGCCTCACTTTCTAGAAACATATACTGTATCATTACGCAATTCTTTTTAAATTCTAATTAATATGTAGTAAATGATCATGATATAGCAATTACTGCTATTTTTAGCTTTAATTTAATAGAATGCAGTACATCTTTCTAAGAAAGTTGAACATCTGCACAGCAAAATGCACCTGAGTTGGATTATAATACTGTATAATACTGTACAGATGATGATACTCCCCTCAAGAGATATGGTACATTTCACATTATGGTAATCACGTTTAGTTCACCATTATGCTAAAAATGTCAAGTCAGGAAAATAACTCACAGTATGATGAAGTGGAGCTCAACATAAATTGGCAAACTGTTCAAATAATAATTCTCTTTTGCTATCGCCGAAACTGATTATTAGCGCTCTTGCATTTGACCACATTAGATTATGTGGTAAATTTAACATAGCAGCTGGTCAGTGTTCAGTCAAATTGATGCACTAAGCTGTCATCTCGACAGGTCAGATGGAGTCAAGGATCACAGTCTGTTCCACAGATGCTACACTAGGCAAAAACCATACCACTGTGTGGCCTATTTAGCTTGTTCTAGCACCTTTGTCATTGATATTCTTTGTCTCACTTTTTTTCTGTCTTGGAGAAATGCAGGCCTTCAAGCTCTGCACAACAGACCCTGTCCTGCTGAGTCTAGCATTAAATATCAATACATGTTTATGAGGGACCGTAAATACTTGATCCAGACAAGAAGCAATGAAAGAAAGATCCAAGCGCAGCATTTCTCTCGTGTGCATGAAAGTGGGCCACAGATGGAGGAGATAGGAATGTGAAAACCAACATAGATGTGAAGGAATAAGAAAAGGGCGCTGCAGGGAATATCCTGAAAAAAAAATGTTGAATTTACTGTTTTATTTTGTCAAGTGGTTGCACAAAATTAAACCATCTGGATCCAGATACATTCTTCAAGTAGTTGTAGAGTCTACTTGAAAAAATGTATTTGGATCCAGATGATTTAATTTCATTGTCACACATGGAAATATTTGGACATCATTTATTTTGTGCAACCGGCACTTGACATCTGTGGTGATTTTCAGTTTTCTCTCTCTTCCATTTATGCTCCACTTTCATGCACACGGGACAAATGCTGCATTGGAATCTTTCCTTCATTGCTTCTCATCTGTAAGAAGACAACAATTAGTAATTGTAGAAAATACAACTGCTTGAAAAATGTATCTGGATCCAGATGATTTTATTTTGCACAATCACTTGCATGAAGGAGGGACCGCCACCCTTGGCATTTTGTGCGCTCACCTTTGCAGCTCTTGTGGTCAGTTAAACATATTAAGAAAGCTTTTCAACACTTCCACTTTCTTTGGTCAACCAAGTAACCTTAAATTCCAAAAGGGATTTAGGGTTCGTAGAGTCATGAAGTGCTTTGACTGTACACAGCATTCAAACAAAAGGTCCTATAAAAGTACAACTCTAGTGACTGTGTGGTAGTATATTTTCAGTGCAGTAGGTAGGAGGGGATATGTCCCAGCTCCAGCCTTTAAAAGATTAACCCTGAGCCTACAAAAGCACAGGGGGCTGTGGGGCCGGACAGGGGCATGAGTGGGCCACTCGCTGGTTAAACATTGGCCATCTTGCCTCTCCTGTCATTGTCTAGTTAGGAGCACAACACGGGTCCCCATTAGTGGCGCAGACGCATATCTTGGCAGCCGGAGTGAGCCGATAAAAAGGCCGCCGTGCCCGCAAGGCAGCGATGGAGATGTATGGGTCTCGGGTGGGGTACTCGCCACGTGAGGCCGGTGGTCATAAAGCCCGAAGCAGGACAGATTGGACAGCAAAGCCCCCCTCTGTCCTCCTCTTTCTGTGTGTCTCTGTGCTGTGACAGTGATAAACGGTGCATATAGGCTTCCAGAACAACAAACAGACACAGCCTCATTTCCCCAATGTGGGCGAGGACAGGCAGAAAGGAGGTGCCATCCCATTAGAGGCTGGGCTCAATGCTGCTGAGGTTGAGGATAAGTGTGTGTGTGAGGGGGGGCGGCATTAACAATAGATCCTCAAGCAACAGGGGGACGACTGCGGTGTTTTCCTTTCTCCCAAAATGTGTCATAAAAGCTCTCCTTAATTGGTGTTCCATAAAATTAGCATCTCCAAACTGATTAGATTTCTCCCCTTCTCATACACAATTGTGTCTCTCCCAGTGACCCCACCGCTGCCATTCATTTTGCTTTCCTTTCACAACTTTATTGGGTATCACTGAAAAAGGAAACTCATGTAAGATTGTGCCCTTTGCCCTCTGCGTCCCCACCTCCCATTTAAGTTAGCCAAGTCCAACCTCCTCTTGAGACAATTGCCTTCTGCTCTTCCGTTGCAAGCGGAACTTGTGAAAATCCTTTGGCTTGAATTTCAATAAGAAAACATGTTTAATGCGACATAGTTTCCTTTACAAGATTCAGTTTAAGAGCTGTATTCTAAATTCTTCTCTTAAAATGATGCCCAGTCTTGATTGATGCCCTCAGTCGTACTGCAAGTTTAGTTTGGAGTGGTCTGGAACTGCACTACCTCATAGAGTGTCCTCTCTGGCCTTCTTGTGGAGCTCCTACTGCCAAAATAACAATAAAATATCATTTTGTCACATTAAAAAAATCAATCCCAAATACCTCTTCAGAGCTGCCAACTGTTACAGATTGTCCGTATTTTGTTAGGGAAATCAGTGAACACCAGCTCTTTATGCCCCTACTACTACTTGTTCTGGAGATGTAAAAAAGGAAATCATGGGTCACATTGCTCAAACAGTTTAATAACAAGCAACAATGCGAAGTGGGTTAATTGCGATGTACAATATGTTTGACAACACGCATATTGCAGGCGTGGCATCATTCTGCTGAGACGTTCCAGTAAAATAGTAGACATGCGTTGTGGAAGCTAGCAGATGAATCAGACATTAGATGAAAGCTAACGACTTGTGGCTAACTCCAATCACTGCTAGCCTTAATCAGGGTTTCCCAACCACAGGTCCGCAGACCAATACCGGCCATTGGTTTGCAAATTGAAATAAACAGAATTTGCCAATAAATGAGAGAGGAAGAAGAAAACAGAAAGTAGTAGCTGTAGTAACAAATTGACCAAACAACAGCTATACGTGCATGACTTCTCAAGATGAAGCTATTTTGACAAGAGAAGTTCCTCCTCTTGTGGTATCTACAGAGCGACGTGGAAGAGGAAGCTGTTGTGTGTGTTGTCAAAACAAGGCAGTACAAGAATCCTGTTGAATTATTTGAACAAGTAGCACCCAAGTGATCAATTGGAAAGCCTGAAAAAATGAGCAATTTGCACAACCTGCCCACGTAAACATTAGGCAGTTTGGTCGCAAATAACTAGCCGACAGCCACCGGATGAAAGCAGAAATCAATCGTGTCATCTTTTGATCAGTCACATTTGCAAGTAGCAATGATGCTAATTCTGCATGTAGGATCGTAACTTTAGAAATATTAAGTTTATATCATCAGGCAAAACTATTATTCCTGATTGGTCCATTTTTTTAGGAGTTCTCGGTGTTATTTTATTTTATTCTACACATGTTGTACAGTTGAAAAGCACTGTTTGAAATGAATGGAAAAAAATAACTGTGAATAAAATGTTACCTATTAACTATAATTATCTTTGGTGTGAATACCAGTGCTTTGAAACTGGCAATTTAAAAGCAATGAAAAACCTCCGGTGTGCAACATGTACTTGTCTCAACTGGTCCATGGCCCAAAAAAGGTTGGGGACCACTGGTCTTAATAGATTTTGATTCATGTCAGCAGTGAGGAACAAGAGTAATTACATGGCATGAAACTTCATCGCCAGACGATTATGTCCAATAATGCACAGACCACTGTGTGCTAATGTCAACTTTATTCATCATAGAAAAAGCAATGGCATGACACTTTACAGCACTATGTTGCAACTGCCCGAAAAGGCCACTGCTAATTGAAATGTTGCTAAAGGTGAGTGATGATTTTAATAATATGTTTTTCTTTGCTTCTGTGTTGGCACTTGAAAATATGTCTTGATAAA